ATATGATTATTTAAACATTCAAATAATTCTCAATAGGCCCAAGACTTAAATTTGTTTCTGACCCAACTTAAAATAAAACTAAGTAGGATTCAGTTTGTTTTCACATAGCCCAAATAAAATTTTAATTGGGCTTCGGTCTGAAAAACAAATAAGTACAGGTCCATTCTTAAACGATACCTATAACAATAGAATTTAATTGAAGAATTCAATTAATCCTTAATTTAAATAGTTACTGGCCCAACTTAAGTTAATTAATATATAGGCCCATAACCAAATAAATCCTTATGTTTGATTATAAGCCTAAAAACTTAACTCAGGCCCACACAATTAACAAGAACACTTGTAATGAATTGAAATGTGCAAGACCCATAACTTATATGTGCAAGGCCTTCGATTTCTAAAAGAAAGAAAGCTTGCTGGCTTCTTTCACCTTATGACGAGAACAAAGCTCGCCTCCTTCTAAATTGAATTCGAGCTCAATTTTTTTTTCTCAACAGCAGACAAACGCTCTCGCCCAACTCTAAAGTCGACGAACTCACTCTTTGAGCTCGCCGAATTTCCCAAATCCAAGCTCGCCTAGAAAAATTCCCAACCCAAGCTCGCCTGAATAATTTTGAGGGCTCGCCTGCAGCTCGAGACCAAGCTCGCCTGTATTCGAGCGATGACCTCGCCTGACTCGAGGGTTCGAAGCTCGCCTGAAGATCTGAGATCGAAGTTTGCTAACCAAGACGAAGCTCGCCTGATTCGAGCTTCGAAAAGCTCTCCTGATGTTCGAGCCGAAGCTCGCCTGAATCGAGATCGAACCTGCCTGAGTCGAGCTCTCGAACTCGCCTAAAACGAGCAATCGAAGGCTCGCCTGAAATTGGGGCTCGAACTCACCTAATTTGGGGCTTGAGCTCGCCTGAATGAAGACTCGTCTGATCCAGGCTCGCCTGCTGTTTGCCAACGAAGCTCGCCTACTGACGTAGTCGACGAGTTCGCCTGCAACCTGATCGAAGCTCGACTGAATACAGGTAAGCACCTCGACCCCTAATTTTCTCCACCCCTTAGGGTTTCAAAAATAAACCACCGTCGTCACTTGGGCTGCTGCAACCTAGGGTTTCGAAAACCCTAGGTTCCTGACTGCAGATGGCCGCCGCCGCCGCTGAAGCTCTCGTACGCTAGGGTTGAAACCCTAGGGTTCCTTATTGCCGCCGCCGCTGTCTTCATTTGACAGTGGGGCGCTAGCCACTAAATTGCTGGCGAAGAGACCAGTGACCGACGGCCAAACAATACAATCCGTTGCTGAAGCTCTCGTACGCTAGGGTTGAAACCCTAGGGTTCCTGATTGTCGCTGCCGCTGTCTTCATTTGACAACGGGGCCGCCAGCGAACAGTTCAACGGCGAAGAACGTGGTGAACGTTGGCCAAAAAAACCAAATGAAGATGTATTAGATCTATTCTTTGAAAAAAAAAATCCAGATCCCAAAACTGAACTGAACACGATCTTGATCAATGATTTGATCCAGATCACCAGAACAAGAATTTGAACAAAATATGGATCAATTTTTTTTTTTGTTGATCCAGAATGATCAACCGAAGGGGAAAACAAAGTAAGACATGCACTTTACTGTTCATGCTTAAAAACAGTTCACAAAAACACAGATTTTAGATCAAAAAACCTAAATTTTGATCTTAAATCCCTAAGAACTAATCACAGTGGTTCTGATACCACTTGTTAGAATTAATTGTGATTAATTCATAGAGATTAACATGAGAGCGGAAGCATACCTTAATCCGTGATGATTTGCACGGATCTGAAACATGAGTTTTGGATCTTCTAACCTTTAGGGTTCTTTCTTGAGAATTCTCTTTAGATGGGGGTGGAGAGAGTAGAGAATTTAACTCTAAGATTAGGGACCATAACCCCTTTATATAGACTTGTAGTTTTCTAATTTAGCCCATCATTAAATTAGAATTACAATCTGGTATCTGCACAATTAGCCCATGACATATTTAAATACGACCTAATTACCTGATTGATCACTTTATGTGGGTTAGCTGTAAAGATAGCAACACACACTGATATAACATATGTGCCCACAAATAGATTTAATTAGATTTAAATCCAACAAACTCTCACGCACTCGGACACCACAGTCATTTCTCTAGTTTTCTAAGTATCTGAACCTTAGATATGCACATGTAAGGAAGAGAAAGAGGGGGGAGAGAGAGGGACCGCTGCAGTTGGTGTAGGGACTGTGATTTATGTCACAGCTGCTAACATAAGGCTTCATTAGTATGATTGTAATGCCTTTGCTGGTATAATACAAGTGATTAAACACTCTCGCAAGTATAGGTGTGGATAGACTTGGCTCTTTGTATATAAAGCTAAATCCTTCTATATTCAATCATATTGATCATACAATATTAGCATTGCAAATTCAGTTTGAAAAAGATCATGCAGGCAACTACATTTTTTGGAGTTGAGAACTACTGCAGCAGTAGATGAAAACTGATATATTTCTTAAGTTTGCTATTAAGTAATGTGACAGGAGTAATTCTTCTGCATGTTGAAAATGTAGTGAGTTGACAATGAATAATGGAAGAAATGACGGTGACCTTTCTTTCATATTATCAAGTGGTCATAAAGTTGCAGGTGGTAGTAGTTTGACATCAGATCTATGGTTTGAAGAATGTAAATCGCTAGTCCAGATTCCAGATCATGATGAAGGATCTAGACAATATCTCTACGCTCCTTGCATTTGTAGCCAGCACAAATCCAGATCATCATGATTTTAGAAATTGGCTCTAGATAGTCTTGGCTCCTTGAATTTGCAGCCCACCCCTCATGCTCAAATTGGAAGATATGATATAAGACTTTCAATTCATATCATTAATATCACCACCTTATTCATACTGATAAATCAAAGATTGTTTAAGCATCTCTAAAAACAGGAACTCAGCCAATGTCAATTTCTAAATTGTAACTACGTGAATCTTGGATAATAAATGAACCCAATAAGCCTCCATTAAATTAATCTAAGGAAGAGTTAATGCCAATAGGAAAATTTCTGCTGCACGCCAGAATATATGTTGGTTCTTGGATAACATCCAGATTCTTCTTCATGGTTGGGCTCTTTTGAAACCTATACACAAAACTTTGATTGCGTACTGAACAGAGGCGGATGCACAGTGGTGGCAGTGGGGTCACCTGCCCCCATTGGGTCCTAGAAAATTATTTAAGGGCCTATGGAAAGTTAGCTTTAGACCACTAGATAATTTACTAAGAGTTACTTAGTCCCCATTATCTCAATAATAAACCCTTGAGCATTATCAACTCTTTAACTTGCCACATCATCCACAAACCCCCACATCCAACATAGATCCCAAGTTCGCAACCCTAATAAAACCCTTACACTTCTGTTTTTCTCACAAGATAGATCATGACTCCCACTCTTTATTTCTCGAGAGAGCTATTCGCGAAAGACCTTTTCTTTTCCACAAGAGACCTCTTCTGTCTTTGTGTCTCCTTGTTATCTTAAGATTCAAAGTATCTCTTTTTCGGTGCCCTTGCTCTCGGGATGGACAACTACATGGATCTCTTTGTTGTTGCCTCTTGGAGCGGGCTGCAGATGTGAAATTTTTATTTCATTGTTGCTTTTGACATTGAAGATTTCTTCCAATTGTTGAATTTGAATTTTAAATTTGTTTCTTTTAATAGTCCTTCAATTGGTGATGCTTCTTGATGTAAAATACTACTTTTTCTGTTGAAAAGGAAAAAAATGCAAACATGATGCTATTTTCTTCAGGAGTACAGACTGTGATCTTTAGATTTGTTTTATCTTTTTTTGTTAAATATTCAATTTTTTGTTATTGATTGACTACTTGAAAACCATCATAAAAAAGATACGAACTTTCATGGAGTGTTTTAACTATTTAAATAGTAACCACAGTAATTTATACTAGCATAGGTAGTTAGAAATTTGTCTTATTATAGTTGCGGTCTTCCCCCAGTGGTGAAAGTTCTTTTTGAAGCCGCCCCTGGTACTAGACAGTAGACATCATAGATATAGATATGAGACTAGATATAACAAGTGTCTATTGTGACGGCAAGAACATTAAGAGTCCAATAGGCTTTGGGGGCACCCTGATGGTGGCCAGCAGGCTGCTCATAGTTGGAGCGTTTGGATAGAATTGTCCAACCTGATATGGGAGGCACAGTTCGGAGATCTACATGGTGTTTCACAATATCAATGGGTGCCAATATATTTCCATTTTTCAAACTTATGCACTTTCAGGGAACAAGCAGAAGCCTCTTACAAAGATGGATTAGATTAGATGAAGAACAAAAAACAGTGTTAACATATACCTAGTTATTAAGAAGTTAACAATTGATATTGAAAGAAAGCCAAGTTAATAAAATGTTGACATGAGTGCTAAAATTTAAAATGCATTCTTTGGTATGTCTCACAATGTCCATGATAATAGCTGTGTTATAAACATACCAAGTGTTAATGTCAAATCATCAAATGAAATGCACAACTTAGTGGAAGGTGATAGTTAATAACAAGGTAATGATCAAATTTACCAAGCCCACTACTAACAGTTTTAATGTATTTAATTGGGTGAATCTTGAAGTCTTTTAACTGATCGAAGTTCACCTGTATAATACATATTGTGCTGCATTTGCAATTTACCAATCAAATGTTTCAGCTGCATAATTGGTGTATGGAGCTAAATATGCACTCATGACTTCATAACTGGCTGGATATGTAGGGCCTCTTTTATGAGCAGATCCTGCATCACTTGTATGGCTGCATGTCGTGGTTTAGGATTTTTCTACTCTGTTAGTTGCATTATACTTCATCTCTATAGCTTTCCTTTGAAGAAAAATATAAATAGGAAAAATGAAAACACAGTTGTCATTTAATATTAATATGTTCTAGGTCTTGTGACTAGAGCTGACGATATTTGTGAATAAAACTAATATTATGTTCTTACAAAATTATTCTTTTCCAGTTCTCTATGCATTCTTTGGGCTTCGACTGCTATATATTGCTTGGAGGTCTGATTCAAAGGCATCACAGAAAAAGGAGATTGAAGAGGTTTGCAATTTTCACTACTGAGATGCAATATATGCCTTTGTTGGCTTTTTTTTTCCAGATTTCTGATTATATTCCCTAGTTGGTTGACGTTTACTGTGATACAAATGTTTCATTGTATCCTTTCTTTTATTATTTCACAACATAATTTCAAAGATTTGTGGGTTTAAGTCTGGCTTATTTCGTGGCATAAAAACGAAGGCAACTTCTAGGGAAAATCATGTCTCTGTGTGGACTCTTCTAGAATACAGCGGAACTTGGAGGCTTGGTCCTAAGGTGCATGAACTTAAACTGTATAACCCAGAAAAGATAGGTTTACATGCCTGCCAACTGCAAATTGGTCATTAAGGGTCTATGTCATAACCTTCTCTTGCTTAATATTGTGGCTAGGACTTGCTACGTACTTGGTACTTTTCAACAGAAGGTTGACGTTTTGTAAATTTCCCTTGTAAAACATGGTCGAATTTCCTCTGGGGCTTGCTGTGCTCTGTATCCAACACCACTTCATTTTTACAGGATAGGAGTTACATGATTCTTTCCATTTTCGTTGCTACGTAATTCAATTATCGTTTAGGGGAAGAAAAGTTTTAAAACCAAATTATATTGGTAGTTTATATTTGGCTTCTGTTGTTGTGGATGATTTCATTTGTTTAATCCTGTTATAAATGATGGATAATCTTGGATTTGTCCCAAATAATATTTAGGATTTAGATACTGGCTGACCAAGATCAGAATGTACAGCAGTACAGGATGGAAGAAACACTCAAATTTAATAAAATAATTATAGCATCATGTATGAACCTTACAAATTTAGTGGCTAAAGGAATGTTTCTTGTTAGTGTTTTCCTTTAAGCTTGGAGTTCCAAAACCTAACACAAGTAGTACCTTATCTTATGATCATATGCATATACAAGGATAATTAAAATGTAGAACTGTACAGGGAAAAAAGGCCAGAATGCTTCAGTTGAGATAACTGTTCTTCTTGTGCAATGCCATTTAAGAAACACATTTTCTTTTATAAATTTATTGCAAGTTTCACATTTAGTGTTGTAAATACAATAAAGAAGCAAAGGTTGGCTATTTGTTTCTTTATATCATTTGTAGAAAAATGAAGAAGTGTGTAGTCTGATTTGTTATCACTGAAAATTTGTGTAAGTAAGTTTTTCAGGCTTTATTGTTTGATCTGTTTTTGATGAAAGTAGCCTGTGTATGTAGTTGTTGTGAGAGGCTTTATTGAACCTTTTTAGGTGCATGATCATGCTTTTATGACTGCATTATTGCAGGTGGAAGAAAAGCTGGAGACAGGGCAGGGGAAATCAACACATCGCCGCTTCCTTTCCAGATTTTGTACACCGATATTTTTAGAGGTATGCTTTCTTTTTCCCAAAAAAAAATTCTTTCTCCGAAAAAAAGGTTCTTTTTCCCTGGTTCCGTAGCCTTTTTCCTTGGAGAATCTCCTGTAAGTTGGAGAGAAGACTTCAATGCTGGAATATTGTTGATAAATTTTAGGGTTATTTGCAGATAGTCCCCCATACTATCTCCGAATTTTGGATAAACCCCTGTAGTTTTGTTGCAGAATGACATTCTTAGAGTGATGTTTTTTCCCCTCTTACCCTCCAGAGGTCTATTTGTCCTTTTTTTTTAAGAAAAAATCTATGAAGGTAAAAAAGTGAAGTTGGAAAAAAAATACTCTCGGGGTATGTCTGCAACAGTAGAACGACATGAAGTCTATCTGCACTTGTGGGATGGTATAGGGGGTCCCTCCTCAGTTAACGCAAAAGTTTACGAATTTGCCTATTCTATAAAGTCAGATCATCATCGTAAAATATTAAGTTTTATTTTCGTTTTTCTGCAGTCGTTTATTTTGACGTTCTTGGCTGAATGGGGTGACCGTAGCCAGATAGCAACAATTGCGGTAACTACACAACTCTTGCTATGTGAAGTCTTTTCTTTAAACAATTTAGGACTAATTGACACGCCCCTTGTACTATGACTCTATGCATGTACTGAATGGGGTGTCTGTAGCCAGATAGCAACAACTGCAGTAACTAGACAGCTCTTGCTATGGGTAGCATTCTCTTCAAATAAGTCGGGCTTAATTGCAGACATACTGCTTGTACTAATTAGTGTACCACCATTTATACCCTATATAAACTCTTTGCTTGGTCCATACACTCTCTAAACTACAGATGGTATTATTTCTTGTGTTGGGTTGATATATCACCTTGCAATCACGGGAGGATAAATTACCAGTAACTGAACAGAGAAAATGTGACATAGTCTGAGGTATATGGGTGTAAATACTGATAGAAAATTAGGCATTAAGTTGCTATGCCACCATTGTCCGTAATACACGGTGTATCTGCAATCAGCACAAATATTTAACATTACTAAAATTCACTTGGATTTCATGATCTTAAGTACTGCTTCCCTTGCGGCCTGTTTGGATTGGGTTAATGTGACGTAGGGGAAGTTAGGGGACTCATAACCTTGTTTAGGAACTCATTTGTGATAGATGGGGAGATTGGTAATATTTATTTATTTATTTTGGGGAGGTAGGGGGGGGGGGAGGCGCTGGGGGCTCGCGCCGTGAGGGGTTGGGGGAGGAGTGGGGGGGGGGGGGGGGGGGTTGGGGGGGGGTTGCGCAGGGGGGTGTGGTGTTGTTTGGGGAGGTGGGTTTAAGGTTGCACTTACTTTATTAAACTTCCCAAACGAGTTGAAATAAGTTCCCCTTGGTTCTTCTTACTAATTCCCCAAACAAGTTTTGTATGTTACCTTAACTTCCCTTATCTTATGCTTACTTTTAACTTCTTAGCAAAATGAGTGATGCTAGTGGATTTAAGATTTTCTTGTTGTTCAGATCAGATATACTATGAAAGTTTCTCTTATTAATGCAGCTCGCTACACACAAGAATGCAGTTGGAGTTGCAGTAGGAGCAACGATAGGGCACACAATTTGCACATCACTTGCAGTCATCGGAGGGAGCATGTTAGCTTCCAAGATCTCACAAGCCACTGTTGCAACTATTGGTGGTTTGCTATTTTTGGGGTTCTCTTTATCTTCATACTTCTATCCTCCATTGTGATTCCTAATTGTATGGGAGGCTTAGTTGTACTAGGTCATCCCAGTTTTGTTGCAAGTTTATTTGCTATTTTTTTCCTTCTTCTTTTTCTGCGCAAGAAAATGAGTTTTACTGCTCATTTCAGTGTCTAATTCTTTTGATGTATAAATACACATGTTCACTGGGGTACAGTTTGCTTAAAATGATATTGTTGTATGTATAATAGATGCAACTGAATGATCCCTTTTCTCTTGACTCACAATTTATGCAAATTGTTTACTTCAATGTCTTTAAATTGTTTACATTTCAATGTCTTTAACACGAAGCTATCTTTTGTGTATCTTTTATAGCAAATTTTGCTAACGTCTTAAAGCTATTATTTGATGGAAGAAAGAATCCTAAGTTTTCTCAAAATAGAAAGAAGTTAGATGATTGGTAAAATCATTGGTTAAGTTCACTATCATGATCTAAGAGAGGCTAGCTGAGTTAATAAGCTGCCTTTGAGTAATACTTCAAGATTAGGTTTAACTTTACTAGGTAGCATTTACAGAATTTTTCTAGATTATTGGAGGCCATGTGTTTGGAGGTGCTCCTCTTACGTTCAACTATCTTAGGGAACATCCACAAAAGTTTAATTTTCTAGAATACTTGAGGTCGTGCATTGGGAGGTGCCCCTTAGCCACGACTAGGATTTGATACACATGGTTCGAAGGATTTTGGAGAAGTTACATCAACAAACCTAAAAAAAAAGTTCACTATCCTCCTTAAGAAAAGGAGGACTATGTTTCAAAATAGACCCCTTTAGGTATTTATTTTTAAAAAGCGACCCCTTTAAAATTTATCTATCATTTTCGACCTGGTTTCAGCCAGGTTTTTTAAAAACTGGCTAAAATCAGGTCGAAAATGACATGTAAAGTTTGAAAACTTAACAGGATTTAAAATCCTGTGAAGTTTAGCGTGGTTAATCAGGCATTAAACTTCACGAGATTTTAAATCCCATGAAGTTTTTGAACTTCTGTAGCTTCATTAGTGTGGTTAATCAGACACTAAATTTCACGGGAAAATCCCGTGAATTTTTCGAACTTTATTTGCCATTTTCGACCCAGTTTCAGCCACGTGGCTGAAATTGGATCGAAAATGGCGAATAAATTTCAAATGGGCCATTTTTTGAAAATAAATTCCTAAAGGGGTCTATTGTACATACTTTTCTATAAAGAAGAAAGGGGATTGTTTGTTTTTTAATACAAAACCACCATAAAATTTAATGGTTTTATGGAGAATAAATACAAAAATTTAAGTTTTTGTAGAACCACCATGAAAATATGCATCCTTAACAAGTGCCACTAAATCATAAATTTCATCCATAGTTTAGGATTATTTGCATTTATACTCATTAAATTATGAGTATTTGCAAACCCCGCCTTAATATTTTAGCATTTGCAAAACTACCCTCAAATTTTCAACTTTTGAAGAAAAATAGCCCCTAAAATCAACAAATTAGCTTATCAAAGTTGATGAATGACTAATTTGAGAGTATTCTAATCCAAAATTGATGATTCGAGTGGTAGTTTTGTAAATATTGAGTTTTGGGGGGTGGTAGTTTTTGCAAATACCTATAAGTTTATATGCAAATAACCCATTAAAATATATATTAAATTCCTAAAATACCCTCAAATTATTATAATTTATTATCCCAACAAAGCACCTTATTTCCCTCCAAAACTTTGTTAACTTTCCTTAAAAAAATTTCAATTCACTCCAAACTCCCCCAGATTCACCCTTTCCAAATTTTGTCATAATGGACTATGTTATTTTATACTATCTACCTATCTCTCCATATATAATGAGAAATTGGTGGTACTCCTAAAGTCACCAAAGAGCACCACCTAAGCGCATAAAAAATGACATATCATATATTATTTTAATATTACATTGGAATTCTTATATGTGGGTATTATTTATCCATAATTAGAATCCTCATCAAAATAAATCTACCTATAATTAGAAAATTCTAATTATAATCAACTATTTAGTAATCTTAATCAAATCATAATTATCCATATTTAAAAAAGTAAATAATTATTTTAATTCTCTTTAATTATCCATAATTTAAAAAAATGATAATCACATTTTTTTATTATCTTTTCTTTTATTTACAAAGGAGAGATTAATGATTTACTATTTAGCCTTACATTTCAAAAAATCATCACATGGCTCTTCTTAATTTAAAAGATAAATTTCAGTAAACTTTGAATAAGTTTAACCCTTTAGCACTAAGCCTATAATTTTTCTAAAACCCCTTGATAAGTTTCAGAATTTTAGTAAACCACCAAAACAATTTTTTTGCACTTAATACCATAAGGGCATTACCCTATAAGTTTACACTGACAAACATTATCTCTCAACACCAATATAAACTTCTCAAATCATTTCTATTTTCAAATTAACTCATAAAATTACAAATAATTACTACAAATATAAAAAAGTACAATTAGCCATCTGAAAAATATGAAACTACAAACAACCCCTTAACAAATTTAAAATCACAAAAGCCCCTTTAAATTCGAAAAATTATAGAAAAATGAAAAAGAATTACAAACCATATCCTTTAAATTGTAAAATTTATAGACAACTCCCTTAAAACTTCAAACAGATTCCTTAAAAATATGAAAATTGCAAACAACCCTTCAAAAAATATAAAATTACAAAAAGGACTTTGAAAAATGTAAAAATTGTAAGAACATTCTAAAAATTCAAAAAATTCTAAAATTTATAGACAACTCCCTTAAAACTTCAAACAGGTTCCTTAAAAATATGAAAATTACAAACAACCCTTCAAAAAATATAAAATTACAAAAAGTACTTTGAAAAATCTAAAAATTGTAAGAACATTCTAAAAATACAAAAAAAAAAAATACAAAGAGCTACCAAAATTTTTGAATATTATAAATAGTCCCCCAAAAAACCAAAAAATACAAACAACACTTTTAAAATTTAAAAATTAAAAACAACCTCGTGACTTACATAGAACCTTGAAAATAATAAACAACCATTCTTAGGGGTTTTCTACCAAAAGTTATTGGGGATTAAGTGAGAAAAATAAAAATTATTGGGTGTTTTCTTCCAAAACTTATTAAGGGTATTTTGATCATTTGACTACACATTTACTATTAATGTTAATTTAGGAGCTTTCTGCCAAAGGTTATTGAGGGTTTAGTGAGAGTTTGAAAGGTATAGGAGTTCAGTGTCAAATGCCCAATAAAATTGATGGTTCAACGACAATTTACCCATTTTTCAACTTTTAGAGAGAATGGATATTAGTAATCTATTGAACAAAAAAATGGATACACAAACAAAAAAACAAATTAACTCATGCAAGTGTGACCATAACATTTGTTTATATACTAAAAGAAAGCCCTAATTGCCATATGGCAAAATTTTAGACCTTCAGCTTTTCAACTTCTACATAATATACCTTTCAAATAAGGGAAAAATGCTTCTACCCCCAACATTAAAAACAAAGCCCCCCCACACCTAAGGCTTGGTCAACAAGCCAAAATTCTCCAAAATTAACTTTTAACTTCTAACTGCCAAACATAGTCCACCTTAGCAATACTTTTTGATCCTCCACTATACCCTTAATTAATGCCCATGTGTGCTGTTCTTTTTCCTCTCATCATTATCTCCCTCCTCTCTTCTCTTTTCTTTCTCTCCATTCCATAATCATTACCAACAAGCTCTCACATCTCTTCCCTTTTTTCTCTCTTCTCTCTCCCTCACCTTTGACTTGATATCTCTGTATCCCCTCCACTATGCTCTCTCCTGTCCATCCCCTCATACCTTGTCACCTCCCTCATCTCCTTTGCCTGGGCACACCACCTCACCACCTCAAATTTGTCCCATAATTTCTTTTCTTCTTCCTCTTATTCTCCTTTGGGCCCACCATCATACATTCACCCCTACCTTCCCTCCCTTCCCTCCTCCTCCTCTGGCACCATCATAAACCCGCACCCTACCTCCCCCTCCCTTCCCTCCTTCTCCTTTGGCAAACTGTACTCTGGCTTCTTCAGGTCCACCTTCATACATCCACCCCTATATTCCATCCCTCTCCTCCTCCTCCTCAAACTTAAAATCTCCACAACCCCTCCCCTATGCACTCTCCTATCCACCCCTCCTGCCTCATCACTGTTAGACCCTAGAGGGGGGGGGTGATTAGGGTCTTATGCTAATCTAATCCCATTAAATACTAATTAAAATTAATTAACAAGTTATCCTAGCAAGTATGAAATACAACAAGAATATAAGCTAGGATAAGCAACATGAACAATGAGATATATCCTATATGATAGAAATATATGCAAGGATATATAAACAACACAAGGGTAAATAATCTAAATAAGATAGTGGATGAAATAAATGAGCAATGCATAATTGGCGATATAAGATGAATGCGAAAACAAATACGCCAAAGACAAACTCAAACAAGCAATATGATCACGGAGTTCGGACCTTCCGTCCTACGTCTCCGCTCCCCACTCCCGAGGAGAAATCCACTAACACAATCCGGTTTGGAAGCCAGAACTTCTACACACTCGGTTTCCAAGTTCACCGAAAACTCTCACACAACAAACACTATGCAAACACACTCTACACCTACTAAGTATTGAACTAGACGTGTCTCCCTCAAGTGCTTGGTTACAACCTCTCCCTAGGTTCGTCAACCGACGCCACTCCTCTTGGGACGATCCCCGACTCTCGCCACACATTTCTCTCTTGGTGTACAAATGTATTACAAAGTGTATCTCTCAATTTGGCTCAATTACAATAATTGATTGTTCTCAACTATGGATGGGAACACAATGAAAGCACAACTCAAAGTTACAATCTCTCACCACCCAACTATACTATGTATGTAAATACTAAAAGCTCAATGTGGGTGTGTGTAACAATGAGTAAAATAAAATCTAACTCAAATAGCAAACTAGCAATAATAAGAATATGAAAATCAATAATGAAATTGCTAGAGAAAAGAGTTAGAAAACTTCTCTATGAACACAAAGAAGAGGATGAAGGGGATTGAGAATGAATCCCTCAATCTGCAGTGAAAACTTCCTCCTTTGTAAACAGAAACCCAAACTTAAACAAATAGTAAAACCCTAAACCCTTGTTTAAACACTTTGTTTTAAAAACACTTCTTGGCTTAGTTGAAAAAGAACAGCAATAGGGTATTTATACCCACTTGAAATCTCAGCCAAAACTCCTAAAACAAAAGACCAAAA